TCCCATAATCCTATTCTTGTGGCCTTTCATTAGTCTTACCAAAGGTGGTTTTCAGTCCCTGAGCAAGGAAGGGATTAGTTTTAGGGAGGAACTATTATTATCCTTGCTTTCAAATTAAACTATAAACTAAATTCTTCTTAAAGTTAGCTTGGCTTAGCCCCAGGAATGACCAAGGACAGCTTGGAGGTCAGAAGCAAGATGGAGTCAACTATGTAAGATTTCTCTTACAGTTATAATTTTGCAAAGGCAGTTTCATGTGGCTTAGGAGATTTCTAAGCAACGCTTTGAGGTGCTACCTGGTTTCTGCTTGCTACTTATAGCAAAAGGTAAAGGAAGAGGGATAAACTGAGGGAAGAACTGCTAAACCAAAAGGAGTCAGGACTGGAAGGTTTCGAAAATTCTTAGCCTCTCCAGATGTCAAAAGATGCTAAAGGTCAGAGATGGTCGCTGAAACCATGGCACAGAGAAAAGTCTGACACTCTAATGTTCTGCTAAGACCCCAGAAAGACCAAGAGGTCAGAAAAGTCAGTCCATCCAAGGGCCCTTTCAAGACATTGAGGTATAGTCACAACAGAGGGCCCCAAGGACGCTGCCATCTCAGCAGGAGGCCAGGTGGAGGAGGGACTATCTCAAAAAGATTGTGCATGTGACTTTATCTAATGAAGTGAAACTGGTGAAACACACAAGGACTATGAGGTTCTTGAGATGTTTATTTCAGCAGAACATTCCCAGCTCATACTGACAGGGACAGGGAAAGTACACAATGAAAGAAGGCCCCCAGAATTCCACTTGCAGGAAGCAAGGCAGTAGAACTACTTGGATGCAAACGTACTACTTAGCATGAAAAAGGAAGGATGACCCGAGCTGAGAGCCACAGAGGATTTTCTCCCAGGCCTTGAAACCTAATGGAGTTTGTTCCAGAAGGATATAAAAGCTGCTATGGACTAGTCACTGCTTTTTACTGTCCATTCCCCCAACCTCCTTTTGAGCATTATGCTGTGCCATCTTGTCACTGTATGTGCAGAATGTTGGGGTAGGAAGTTTCTTTCGTTTCATAGGTCCACAGGTCAGGAAGAATTGTGCTCAAGAGCTGTATTTAGCAGATTACAGCTGGGAACCTGATCCATATTCCATCTGAAGTATTTAAATGATGACATTGTGGATTTTGAGCTGATGAGATAATTCTATTTAGATGTAGATGATGAGATTTTGAATTTTAAGCTGAGACTCTAATGAGATTGCCAGAGGCGTTTGAACCAGAGCAACTCCATCTTGAATAGGGGCCGGTAAAAGGAGGTTGAGACCTACTGGGCTGCATTCCCAGGAGGTTAGGCTTTTTTTTTTTTTTCTTTGAGACGGAGTCTTGCCGCTCTGTTGCCCAGGCTGGAGTGCAGTGGCGCAATCTTGGCTGCAAGCTCCGCCTCCCAGGTTCACGCCATTCTCCTGCCTCAGCCTCCTGAGTAGCTGGGACTACAGGCGCCTGCCACCACCCCCGGCTATGTTTTTGTACTTTTTAGTAGAGACGGGGCTTCACCGTGTTAGCCAGGATGGTCTCGATCTCCTGACTTAGTGATCCACCCGTCTCAGCCTCCCAAAGTGCTGGAATTACAGGCGTGAGCCACCGTGCCCGGCCTTTTTTTTTTTTTTTTTTTTTAAAGACAAATCTAACTCTCTCACCCAGGCTGGAGTGCAGTGGTGTGATCTCGGCTTGCTGCAACCTCTGCCTCCCAGGTCCAAGCTATTCTCCTGCCTCAGCCTCCCGAGTAGCTGGGACTACAGACACCTGCCACCATGCCTTGCTAATTTTTGTATCTTTATTAGAGACGGGGTTTCACCATGTTGGCCAGGCAGGTCTGGAACTCCTAACCTCAGGTGATCTGCCCACCTTGGCCTCCCAAAGTGCTGGGATTACAGGTGTGAGTCACCATGCCCGGCCCCCAGGAGGTTAGGTATTCTAAGTCACAGAATGAGATAGGAGGTAGGCAAAAGATACAAGTCATAAAGATCTTGTTAAAATAAGTTGGGGTAAAGGAGCCAGCCAATACCCACCAAAACCCAGATGGCGACGAGAGGGACTTCTGGTGGTCCTCAATGCTCATTATATGCTAGTTATAATACATTAGCATGCTCAGAGACACTCCCACCAGTGCCATGACAGTTTACCGCAAGGTCAGGAAGTCACCCTGTATGGTCTAAAAGAGGGAGGAACTCTCAGTTCTGGTAACTGTCCATCCCTTTCCCTGGAAACTCATGAATAATCCACCCCTTGTTTAGCATATAATCAAGAAATAACCATAAAAATGGGCAACTGCCTGTGAAATGGCCATTCTTTTATTCCTTTACTTTCTTAAGACACATGCTTTCACTTTATGGACCGCCCGAATTCCTCTCTTCATGTCTGAATCAGGCCCTGTTCCGGTAACAGGATGAGGCTCTTGGTAACCCTGAGGTATGTTGAATACATTTTGGGGATTGGGAGGGACATGGGTCACTGGAGGCCGGAGGTTGTGTTAGGCAGAATTCTCAGATGACTCCCTGCCACCCAGCTGTTGTCTATGACCCTCCTGTTGAGTGTGGAGGGACCTGTGACTGAGACGGCACAGGCCTCTCATGACTGTGGCACGCTGAAGTTTAAGAAAAGGATATTATATTGTCCCTGGTGGGCCTGACCTAATCCCAGGGCCGGCGTCCTTATGGAGGAGTGGGTTGAACTCGGAAAGCAAGCTGGAAATGCTTGATGACGTGATGCAAGCACTCGCCCTCTCACCATTACTGTGTATTTCTGCGCTTGGGCCATAGTTGCCTTCGTGTCTCCTCTGCACAGTGGAGTCCCTGGAGGGAGGGGCCCTGTGACGCTCTGGGGGTTCCCAGTGACCCCTGCCTCCCACGAGCCCGGGCTCCCCACACCCGCCCGCCTGGGATCCGGTCCCAGCACCCCGATGGCCGCGGGCGGTTTCCCGGAGCCCCGCGGTTGGCCACGCGCCGCGCTCTCCGCCCCGTTGGGGACGCCCAGGCCACCGGCCGGATGAGGGACGCGGGGGCAGAGCGCTCAGGCCGGGGCCGGCGGGGACCCTGCGCGCTGGCCGCCGCGATCCTCTGGCCACTCCTCCTGCTGCTGCGCTTCCCGTCCACCTCGTCCCTCTCTGCAGGTGAGCGGGCGGGGGTGGCCCGGACGGAGAGAGGAGCGGAGGTCGCCCGCCTCTCGTGGCCCTGCCCTGCCGCCCGACGCGGACACCCGCCCGGAGGGCCCGGCCGGGCAGGTCTGGCTCCCGGGCCCTGGGAGGAAGGCGCCTTGGAAGGAGCGGAGAGGATGGGGCTCCCGCGCTGGCCCTGCCGGGCTGGATCTCAGGCCTCTGCAGTCCAGCGCCCCACACACCCTCATTTCCAGGATGGGGAAATGCTACCGCAGACGGGACTGTGGGCGGAGTGTCTCTGGTCCGCTTCAGTCTGGGGGCGCACTGGGCCGGGAAGGGAGGGCACAGCCGCTTAGGGGCCGCGCGGTGGAACGGTGCATCCCTTCTGCAGCCTCTGCGCCAACACACACGGCATGAGGCCTGGGAGAAGCCGGGCCCAGTGCTCACCCCCCAGCCCCACCGGCTGTCGCCCCTGACAGGGGGCCTTGGGCTGTGTGTTCCCGGGTCATCCAGGTGGTGCTGTCCCATGGGCCGCGTGGCTTCACCCTGAGCCTTGGACATGTCCCTCCTGTGAAGTGAGAGGAGGGGGCACGGCGGCCCCGGGTCCTGTTAATCCTGACATTTGGGGGCACCAGGGGCTGGCGTCCTTCATGCAGGCACCTCACTGCTGGGCTGTCTCCACAGTGTGTGGGAAGACCAGATTCAGCGGGAATTCCTCCGGGAGGCCCACCGGGAAGATCTTTGGAGGCCAGAGGGCGGAACCTGAGCGGTGGCCATGGCAGGCCAGTCTACTCTATCTAGGCAGGCACATCTGTGGCGCTGCCCTCATCGACAGCAACTGGGTGGCCTCTGCTGCTCACTGCTTCCAAAGGTGCACCTTCCCTCAGGGCCCTGCTGTGGGAGGGCACGCGAGAGGGAAGTCCAAAGTGAGGGTGCAGCCTTTTCTTTGTAGGCTTTGTTCTGGGACAGTTTGCTGCCCCCGGGTGTCCTGCCTTTGACCCAGCAGTGCCCTGTGCCTGGAATGCTGTCCCTGCCCATCAGACTGCTCCAGTCTCCTGACCAAGTGTGTGGCATCTCCCAGGCAAAGGATCCTACCTCATCTCTCACTCTGGGGTTGGGCATCCCCCCGTCACTCCACCCCACATTGGTCAATCTGCTAAGATGGTGTGGTTGTCTCATTACACGCACATGACTTTGAAACAGCTAAATGGAGCCGGGTGTGATGGCTCACACCTGTAATCCTAGTACTTTGGGAGGCTGAGGTGGGAGGATTGTATGAGTCCGGGAATTCCAGATGAGCCTGGGCAACATAGTGACACCTCATCGCTACAAAAATTACAAAATTTAGCCAGGCCTGGTGGTGTGCGCCTGTACTCCCAGCTACTCGGGAGAATCACTTGAGCCTGGGAGGCCAAGGCTGCAGTGACTGTGATCACACCATTGCACCCCACCCCAGGCGACATGATGAGACCGTGTCTGAAAATAAGTAAATAATTAAAAGTAAAAATAAATAAATAGTTAAGGCCTGTCACGGTGGCTCACACCTGTAATCCCAGCACTTTAGGAGGCCAAGGCGGGTGGATTGCTTGAGCCCAAGAGTTCAAGACCAGCCTGGGCAACATGGCAAAACTCCATCTCTACTAAAAATAAAAAATCAGCCAAATATGACGGGGCATGCCTGTGGTCCCTGCTACTGAGGAGGCTGAGGCAGGAGGATCACCTGAGCCCAGGGAGGTTGAGGCTGCAGTGAAATGTGGTTGTGCCACTGCATTCCAGCCTGGGCCACAAAGCCAGATCTTGTCTCAAAAATAAAATAAAGTAGAACAAAATAAAATAAATAGCTAAATGAAAATTAATCCACTCTAATTGGGATTATCAATAAATAGAGGAAAACAGACTTTATTTCTAAAGGGAACCACCTCCAGCCCACTCTCCATCTGCTGTAAACTTTAAGAATCAAAATCCTGATGTTCCAGTCAATGTGAGCTTTGGTTTCTGCATCTTGCCCAGCTCTAGGCCATCCACACAATCTCAGTGGGCCGCGGTTTTTCTTGTGTAAGTGGTAGTGGGTGTGCAGCGTCCCAGGTCACACACTTGACACACGCTTCAGGTGATGAGACAGAGTGACAGTTCCAGGGCTTCCCAGGGCCAGGCATGCATGTTCAAGTGCCTGGCCCCTCCCAGCCAGGTCTCATTGCAGGCTGTCCAGGGAACACTTGCCGAAGGCTCCCCTATGTCCTGGCTACCCACACATGCTGGCACATTCTTCCCCAGAAGGGTCCTGCGACTCTGTATGTCCAGCCAGGGGGGTTTTGTCACTTCTGGAGAATTATGTGCCACTGTCCCCACAGATGAGAGTGAAAGATGAAACAGACGGCCTCTGTCCCAGGAGGTGTGAGGCAGAGAGGGTCAGGAGACTCAGTTACTCCTCCAGTGCTTCCTGGGCTTGCTGTGTGCTCTGAGGGAGTCGGGAGGATGTCAAATTCTGAGCCAGAAGCCAGAGCTTTGGACATAGCTGGCTGTAGCATCCTCCTCAGATCCCACTCATTTATTCAGCACCCGCGGGTGCCAGGCCTCAAGTCAGGCCCACTGTGCGGTACACAGAGATGCAAGCCCCACCCTGAGGCTTCTCATCCTGTCAGGAAAGTGAGGCACAAGCCCAGGACCATGGTAGACCCTGCGCCAGACAGCGGCTCGGAGCAGGAGAGGCCTTTGGGGAGGTGGATGCAGGCATGTGGGGGGAGGAGGACCATACAGCCAGGACCTGTGGGTTGGAAAGTCACTTGTTTTCTGGAAACAAGTTCAGTTCCATGAACTCCTCCATGTGCTCCACCAATACCTGCTGAGTTCCCGTCACCAGGTGGGGCAGCCTTGGAGACGGTGGTGCACGAGGACTGGGGAGAAGGGGGTGGAGCATACTGGCTAGGGAAATAGGGTCTTCGAGAATTACTGTAGGTCATGGGGCCCCAGGAGGGTTCTGGTCAGAGCTGGGAATGAGCCAAGTCTCTTCTCTTCTGAAATGAAGGGGTGACGTAATGCACCCCCAGTGTTTTCTGCACTAAGATTCTCGACTCCTTTGAGTCTGGGGCATGCTGAGAAAGCCACAGGAATCATCCCTGGCCAGGTGTCCCGAAGGCCCTCAAGCTCTTGTCAAGACCAAAGCAGGGCTCTCTGACATGAGGAAGGGAGGAGAGAGTAACTCCAGAGTGACGGTGGGGTCTGGGTGCCTGCCAGGTGGGCAGCCGGGGTGAGGGTGCTGGCCTAGCACTCAGAGGAGCCTCCCCACAACAGGTCCACTAACCCGTCTGATTACCGGATCCTACTTGGGTACAACCAGCTAAGCCATCCCACAGAGCACAGCCGGCAGATGACAGTGAACAGGATCATGGTGCACGCTGACTATAACAAGTGGCACCGCATGGGGAGTGACATCACCCTGCTGCAGCTGCACCGTCCTGTGGAATTCAGCTCCCACATCCTCCCCGCCTGCCTTCCGGAACCCACCACGTCGTTGGCCCCTGACAGCTCCTGCTGGATATCTGGCTGGGGAATGGTCACCGAGGATGGTGAGCAGTGCAGTCAAGTGGCCTGAGCATCTCCCGCTTTTGGAGGCAGGCACTTGGGCTCTTTGACTCTGAGCCATTCAGGGTTCCCTGGTTCTGAATGTTACTGACTCCACCCTGACGACAAGGGCCTGCTGCGGTCTGACCTCCTCCAGGGCCTCACCAAGCGCCCTGGAGCTTCCATGGCGGTGGAAGGTGCTGGGCATCAGTAGCAAGTAAGAGTAGGCCTGCGGGTGCCGTGGCTCACACCTGTAATCCCAGCACTTTGGGAGACCGAGGTGGGCAGATTTCGAGGTCAAGAGATCAAGACCATCCTGGTCAATATGGTGAAACCCCATCTCTACTTTAAAAAAAAAAAAACTATATATATATATATACACACACACACATACACATACAAAAATTAACTGGGCGTGGTGGTGGGTGCCTGTAATCCCAGCTACTGGGAAGGCTGAGGCAGGAGAATCGCTTGAACCAGGGAGGCGGAGGTTGCAGTGAGCCGAGATCGCACCACCGTACTCCAGCTGGGCAACAGAGCAAGACTCTGTCTCAAAAACAAAAAAAAGAGAGAGCAGGTCTGTCCTCGGCCCAGGTGTTTATGTCTGAAGAACACTCACCTCTGTGGATGTGAACCTCGCTGCTCGCCTGGCATATTTGTCATATATTTGTATATTTGTAGACTGAGAGGGAAGAAATGTTAGGTAAAGACTCCAGCAAAAGAGTAAATGCTTTTGATTTAGGAAAATATAGTGATGAGTGCAAAACAGTGGAATGGCAATTTGCAATTATTTGTGGGGTCATCATTTGGCAGACTATCTCAGAGGAGGCGTTTAAGACAGGCATTCCATGAGCAGGCCAGAGCTGGCCTCCCTGCCCTTGCCGCTGAATGTCAGTCACACGGCCCTAGTCATGAGAGCAGCTGGTCCTCCAAAGACAGCCTCCTGGGACTGTCATTCTCCAACTTTTTTTTTTTTTTGAGATGGAGTCTCGCTCTTGTTGGCCAGGCTGGAGTGCAATGGCATGATCTTGGCTCACCACAACCCCCACCTCCCCGGTTCAAGCGATTCTCCTCCTCATCCTCCTGAGTAGCTAGGATTACAGGCATGAGCCACCACACCTGGCTAATTTTGTGTTTTTAGTAGAGATGGGGTATCTCCATGTTGGTCAGGCTGGTTTCGAATTCCTAGCCTCAGGTGATCCACCCGCCTCGGCCTCCCAGGGACTGTCATTCTCTAAGAATCAAGGCAGAGAAGATTCTCCAGGTGGGAGAGGAGGAGGTAGGGCCCGGGGAAGTCATCAGTTAGTTGGAGCAGCTTCCGAGCAGAGAGCCATTGACCTTGATGAGAGATCTGGGCTCCAGTCATCCTTCTCTCTCCACACACCAGCAGCCCCCAAGGACCCATGAGGCCCACACAGGGCAGGCATTGTGCAGGGGTGGGCCCCTGTCATCAGGCTTTGCCCACATGGGGACCCCAGGCCAGATCTGGGGGTGACAGCTGGAACCACAGCCCAAGTGTCCCCAGACCAGTTGCTCCTTGAGGAAGGGCATGTCTGATTTGTCACACTGCTCAAGCCTGCCCAGCACCTGCTAGCTATGCCACCAGCCAGGCTGCCACTCCAGCTGCCACACTCCCTGCTTCCAGCTCTGCCTCCTCTTAGCAGCCAGAGGGCTTGTTTTTGATGCATAAGACCCTTCTATTGTGTCCCAGTGTGCTTGGAATGACACCTCCAACACCACATCCTGGCTAGGAGGGCCCCCGCTCTGGGCCCCGAGGCGGCTGCGCCTCACCCTTCACCCCACGCCTGCTCCCTTGCAGCCACATTGGCCTCCGTCCTGGCTCGTCTTACTGCAGGCCCTTCCCCTTTGCCTGTCCCCTAGTCTTGGTGGTGCCCTCCCTGGGTGAGCGGGCTGGGAAGGGAGGGCTTCCCTCTGGCTGCACATCTGACACCTCCTCCCACAGTCTTCCTGCCTGAGCCCTTCCAGCTTCAGGAGGCAGAGGTCGGTGTCATGGAAAATAGTGTCTGCAGATCCTTTTTCCAGCCCCAGTACCCCGGCCAGCCAAGCAGCAGTGACTACACCATCCACGAGGACATGCTGTGCGCTGGGGACCTCGTAACAGGAAAGGCCATCTGCCGGGTGAGTGGGCTCAATCTCTCTCGCCTGTGCTGTCCCGGGCCTCTGCCACAGGGTCTCCTCTGGACCCTGCCCCAGCCCTGACTTCTTCCCGAGCCCAGCCAAGCCTGAGGTGTCAGAGCCAGGACAGAAACCCCCAAAAAGCACTGGCCCATCCGTTTTATTTGTATCTTTTAAGAAGCGTTGTTTGTAGTCCCAGCTACTTGGGAGGCTGAGAAAGGAGAATGGCGTAAACCCGGGAGGCGGAGCTTGCAGTGAGCTGAGATCTGGCCACTGCACTCCAGCCTGGGCGACAGAGCGAGACTCCGTCTCAATAAAAAAAAAAAAAAAAAAAAAAAAAAAGAAGCGTTGTTGGCTGGGTAAACAGTGGCTCACATGTGTAATCCCAGCACTTTGGGAGGCTGAGGTGGGTGGATCACCTGAGGTCAGGAGTTCGAGACCAGCCTGACCAACATGGTGAAACCCCATCTCTACTAAAAATACAAAAATCAGCCAAGCACGGTGGCGTGTGCCTATAGTCCCAGTTACTCGGGAGGCTGAGGCAGGAGAATCGCTTGAACCCGGGAGGTGGCGGTTGCAGTGAGCCGAGATCGTTCCACTGCACTCCAGCCTGGGTGACGGAGTAAGACTCCGTCTCAAAAAAAAAAAACAAAAAAAAAACCTTGTTGAAGCACACCATGCACAGGGAAGGGCATAAGTACAAGTGTCCTGCGGAGGAATTTTCAGAGACTGACCACTCATGTACCTGGCACCCATGGGTTTTATCCGTGCCTCATTCCTGACGCTAACCCTGCCTGCTTTCTAAAGCACCGTGGCTTCATGTGGGGACTTTTAGCTGAGTGAAGCCGTATGGTATGCAAGCTTTTGCCTGGTCCGCTTAGTCAATGTTGTATCTGTGGGCTGCATCCATCTGGTGTGCAGTCGGTATTGTTCATTTTTATTGCCGTATGCTATTCCACTGTGCAAAGACACTGCAATTTACTTATCCATTCTAGTGCGCGTGGCATTTGGGTGGTTCTCATTTGAGGTTGTTGCAAATAGAATTTCTGTGGACCTCCTGGTGTACGCGTTTCAGAGCACGCAGGTTCCCATTCTGGTTATCAGTCACCCTGGCAATGGAATTGCCTTGCCATGAGATACGCACATGTTCATCTCTCGTTGATCATCTGAGAAACTCTGCAACCTGGTTGTACCAATTTTCATTCCCACCAGCTGGTGAGTGATAGTTCAGGTTGCTGCCAGTCCTTCAAATTGTCTTGCCATTTTCGTATGAACTCTTGTGTGTGGTTTTTAATGTGCATTTCTCCGGTGACTAGTGAAGATAAGCCCTTTGTCATATGTTTATTGCCTCTTTTGTAAAGTGTCCGTGCAAGTTTTTTGCCAACTATGGGATTGTCTGCCTTTCATTCAGAATCATAGGAGCTCTTTGTCTATTGTGGACGTGAGCCCATTATTGGATATGTTCATATATTACGAATGTCTTTTCCCACTGTGTGTAATCTTTCCATTTTATAGTGGGGGACTGAGGCCCAGAGAGGAAGTGCAGCATCCTCTCCGTCTTTTTTTTTTGATACAGGGCCCAGGCTGGAGTGCAGTGGCACAATCTCAGCTCACTGCAACCTCTGCCCCCCAGATTCAAGTGATTCTCCTCCCTCAGCTTCCCGAGTAACTGGGATGCATGACCATGCCCGGCTAATTTTTATATTTTTAGTAGAGATGGGGTTTCATCATCTTGGCTGGGCTGGTCTCGAACTCCTGACCTCAAGTGGTCTGCCTGCCTCAGCCTCCCAAAAGTGCTGGGATTACAGGCGTGAGCCACCGTGCCCGGCCTCCTCTCCCTCTCTGGCACCTCCCTCTTTTTCTTTCTCTCTTTGGTCACCCCATGGTGCAGAAACAAATGATGACTCCCATCACACAATGCCCTCCAGGCACCCTCCCGGCTCCCCACAACCTCCTCCCACCCCACCCGTCCCAGCAGGGCCCACCCCAGGGTGCCTGCCTGCGCCCTCTCTTGCTTCCTGGGCTCTGTCCTCGCCACAGCCGTGCCGTCAGGCATTGGTGCAGCATCCCCCATCAGACACTGTGGGCGGCCCCTCCTGCTCTCTGCTGTCCTCCTTGGAGCGGCCTCCTCAGCCTCCTGACACCAACAGCCCACTGTGTACCGCTGGGCTGATTCCCTTGCCTTGCCCATTTCCTTTGACAGAGAGAAACGGTCAGATATGGCAAGTCCTGTCTGTTGACCATTTCCCGCCAGCCTCTGCCATCCCCTCTCCTGCAGTTGTGTCCTGATGGGGCTCAGGCCAGAACCATCCTATCAGACAGAATCTGCACCAGGTCCCCTGGGTTCCCTGCCCACTGACGAGGCTGTGGGCTGGCACAGTCAGGCCTTGCCCCTCCTTCCTGTGTTGGCTCAGAGCAGCTCTAGGATTAGAGCAGCCCTTCTGGGGTCCTTCCAGGTCGCCCCCGTCCACACACCACGTCTGTGATGTCTGTTCATGTGGAATGTCCCTCGGGGCCTCCTCGGCGCTGTCTGTACACGAAGAGGCTTGGTCTTGTTGATTGCACACATGGCAGGAGGATGCTTGTTTCCTTGGGATTCCCTTTTTGGCCTATGGGATGGGGGTGCCCTGCCCAGGATGTCAGGGACTTCCCCGTTTGGGGGCCCTGCCACACTCACAATCCCCCGCGCTCACCTGGGAGCCCCTGGCACTTGCCCTACCCCCAGGCTGGGCACAGGCAGCACCTCTTTTTCCCTCAGCACATCCCACAGCCTGGCATTTTCTGAAAAGCTCAACTAAGAAATGGAGGGAACACTAGAGACCTTAGTAAGTCAAGGACATCTGGATTCGGGACTAGATTTAATCCCAGCACCTTGGGGGCCAAGGTGGGAGGATCACTTGATACCAGGAGTTCAAGATCAGCTGGTAACATGGCAAGATCTCCATCTCCATTTCAATTTTTTAAAAAAAAGTTTAAAAAAGAACAAAATACTGGTGGGATGCAGTGCTGGGCTAAGGATTCAGGCCAAGGCGCAGCCAGCCCTCCAGGCTGGCACCCAGCCACCCCGGAGACCACAGGCGGCGCCTTCTCCCCACTAGGGCCAGGAGGGCTAGGCCTGGATGTCCATCTCCTAGAATCCCCCTGCTTATTCTCATGGGTCTGTGACTGCCAGCCTGGAGGCTCTGCCCAGGGTCTCCTTGGGAGCTTTGTGGAGTGGGGCTCCAGAGCCCTGTCTTCGAGATTTTGATCCAGGAGGTCTGTCCTGGGTCTGGGCTTCTAACATCGCCCAGGTGACTGATGAGCGCCACTCACTCAGACAGTGGGGACACTTGCCGCACACCTTGCTTCCCACGCTCCATCCTGGAGAAGCGTAAGGCCCCCTCCTGCCCCGAACAATGCGTGTCCCTCCCTGTCTTGGTCCCCACCACCCATGTCTTCTCTGTTCTCAGGGAGACTCCGGGGGTCCCCTCGTCTGCCCGTTAAATGGCACCTGGTTCCTGATGGGGCTGTCTAGTTGGAGCCTCGACTGCCGCTCACCCATCGGCGCCAGCGTCTTCACCAGGCTCTCCTACTTTACCAACTGGATTAGCCAGAAGAAGAGGGAGAGTCCCCCTCTGGATCCTGCCTTGGCTCCTCCTCAGGAGATGCCCCCAGCCCTGGACAGCATGACCTCTCAGGGTACCGTCTATAAACCCGGGCTCTGCGCAGCCCTTCCGGCTGCTCACACCCTCCTCCTGCTGCTGATTCTGCTGGGGAGCCTGTGAAGGGCCGGGGCCCCTGGCCTCCTAACCACAAGTGTGCCCACGTCAGGCCAGCCTCCTTGCTGAGCCCTGCACGCTCCTGACGTGTTTCCACCTCTGGGCTCTCCTGTCCACCCAAGGCCACCCCTGCCCCAGGCCTGACAAAATAAAAACCACCCAAGAAGCTTCTTGCTCTGGTTTCTGGCCCACCAGAGCCATCTCCCACACTCCACTGTGTCTCCAGCTCCTCAGGGAGGGCAGGTCTCCCTCCTCCCTGGGCAGGGATATGGGAGCCAAGTCACTCTCCTTGGGGAGTTGGGTCGCGCAGACTTAGGCCCCGTTCCTGTCCTCCAGAGCATGCAGTCTTCCAGAAAAATGGCGCCAGGGCCTCCCCACACGGAAGCAGCCGCCTGGCCTCCCGGAGCTAGGTGCTGTGCGCCGGTCAGGGATGAAGTCGTATCTTCCAGGCACACAGGTCACAGAGGCTCTCCTCGACAGCTTGCGAGTAAACTGTGAAGGGGGCTGAGGTCTTGGGTCAGCCGTCCCAGAGTTCTGTCCCAGGGGTCAGCTGTCAGCTGACTGCCCCCTCTACTCACAGCCCTGCCCTCTCCCTGCCTCCGGAAACCCAGCCCCCACCCCTGTGGCTTGCTCCAGCTTGTAGGGGTTGCGGCTTGGCTGACCCAGGACTTGCTGGTCCAGCACTGAGCCCATGACCCAGACTCTGAGTTGCCCCTGCAAGCCTGTCTGAGTCAGGTTTGCATCCCAATGAGTCAGCAGGACTCTCACAGGGCCTCACCCACAGCTCTCCCCCAACCCCCAACCTGAACTCACAATGAAAGGCGGGCAGCCGGCCGGGCACAGTGGCTCACACCTGTAATCCCAGCACTTTGGGAGGCCGAGGCAGGCGGATCATGAGGTCAGGAGATTGAGACCATCTTTGCTAAAATGGTGAAACCTCAGCTCTACTAAAAATACAAAAAATTAGCCGGGCGTGGTGGCAGGTGCCTGCAGTCCCAGCTGCTCAGGAGGCTGAGGCAGGAGAATCGCTTGAACCTGGGAGGTAGAGGTTGCAGTGAGCCAAGATCATGCCACTGCACTCCGGCCTGGGCGACAGAGCAAGACTCCATTTTAAAAAAAAGAATAAATGAGGGGCAGAGAGACCTTGGTGGTAATCACAAGGGTGCATTGCCTTACAATAATTTTTTAAGAGCTATCTTTGTTTTGGATTCTTTTCTACGTATTTGCTTCATTTTATGTAAAAATAGTTTTAAACAACTCGTAATTATTGTATATAAAAACTTACAACATAAAATGCAAAAAATATCACCAAAGCAAATTCGAAATCTATACCATTAGTAAACTAAATAACCAAATATCACCAAAGCTAATTCTGAATCTATCCCATTCGAAAATCAAATCACTAAATTACCTGATTTGAGAGACAGGTGTTCAGGGAGGAGCTGCGTGGCAGTTGCTGTCCTTCAGCCAAACGTCTGATTGAAGCTTCAGCTCCTCTGAGGCTCAGCCTTTGGCCTTCTGGTCATGGTCAAGTTACAGTCACAGCCTTTGCAGGGTGAATCCCAGAATCTGCAACACAAATGCAGGTGCTAGAGTCACTGGGGAGGCACAGATGTGGCTGGAGGAACCTCAGGCTGTGTGTGGCATGTCAGCCTTGGGCCCTGACATTCAGGCATCAAGGCCACAGGGCGCTGAGGCCTTTTTTGCGCCTCAGTGCTGAGGGTGTGGGCCGTTGCACACAGAGGCAGTTTAACCTGGGCGTTCAGCTGGGCAGCTTGTAGCTGACTGGTCCTCTGGACAGTGAAACGGATGCTGAAGGAAGAGAAGGCCCCAAGACTCTGGGATGAAAATCAGAGTCCCACACACCTGGGCTGGTTGAGGAGCCGATTAGCCTCAGGTCTCGTGGAATAGGCTGGAAGAGGCAACCTTTCCTTCCACTCCTCCACTCAATACAACCATGTCATGAGATCTTCATGTTAAAGATGAATAGCTCCTGGCCAGGAGCGGTGGCTCATGCCTACAATTCCAACACTTGGGAAGGACGAGGCAGGAGGCTTGCTTGAGGCCTGGAGTTTGAGACAAGCCCGAGCAACACAGTGAGATCTCATTGCTACAAAATATACAACTAAAAACAGTGGCCAGGCTTGGCGGCTCATGCCTGTAATCCTAGCACTTTGGGAAGCTGAGGTGGGCGGATCATTTGAGCCCAGGAGTTGGAGACCAACTTGGCCAACATGGTGAAATCCTATCTTTACTATAATAAAAATACAGAAATTAGCCAGCCATGGTGGTATGCGCCTGTAATCCCAGCTTCTCCGGAGCCTGAGGCAGGAGAATCCCTTGAGCCCAGGAGTCTGAGGCTGCAGTGAGGTGTGAGCACGCTACTGCACTCCAGCCTGGGTAACAGAGCAAGACCCCGTCTCCTAAACAAGAAAAGAGTTTCCTGGAGCTCTTTCTTTGTCCCCTAATGATAATTTTTCTTTCTATAAACACAACCACCAAACTTTCAATTTTAAAAACATATGCGCTGGTAAGAAAAACATAGTTCTATGATTAACAGTATGTTCCAACATGAAAATGTTACAGAAGATACTGCTTTTTAAATGTGAAAAATTGAGCTATATTGATTTTTATTCACTTACAAAATTGGGAAACAGGTAAAAGGAACATAAGTAATGTCTTAGTCTGTTTGGGCTGCTATAATAAAATGCCATAGGCTGCATGGCTTGTAAAGAACAGAAATGGCCGGCCGTGGTGGCTCATGCCTGTAATCCCAGCACTTTGGGAGGCCGAACCGGCTGGATCACAAGGTCAGGAGTTCAAGACTAACCTGGCCAACATAGTGAAACCCTGTCTCTACCAACAACATAAAAATTTGCCAGGCGTGTTGGCGGCACCTGTAGTCCCAGCTACTTGGGAGGCTGAGGCAGGAGAATGGTGTGAACCCGGGAGGCAGAGCTTGCAGTGAGCCAAGACTGCGCCACTGCACTCCAGCCTGGGCGACACAGCGAGACTCTGTCTAAAAAACGAAAAACAGAAAAACCAGAAATTTGGTTCTCACAGTTCTGGAGACGTGAAGTCTAATTTCAAGGTGCTGGCCGACTTGGTGTCTGGTGAGGACCCACTTCCATAGATTATGCCTTCTGGCTATGTCCTCACTTGGCAAAAGGGGTGAGGGGGTCTCTGTGGGGCAAACAATTCTATTTAAACACAATGTATTTCACACATATACACGAGCCAGAAGGAAACTCAAACCAGGGGTCTGTTTGAGGTTTTTTTTTGTTTTGTTTTGTTTGAATGGAGTCTCACTCTGTCGCCCAGGCTGGAGTGCAGTGGGGTCAATCTCTGCTCACTACAACCTCCACCTTCCAGATTCAAGTGATTCTTCTGCCTCAGTCTCCTGAGTAGCTGGGATTACAGGCATGTGCCACCACACCCAGTTAATGTTTGTATTTTTAGTAGAGATGGGGTTTCACCATGTTGGTGAGTCTGGTCTTGAACTCCTGACCTCGTAATCCACCCACCTCAGCCTCCCAAAGTGCTGGGATTACAGGAGTGAGCGCCACCGCGCCTGGCCATCTGTGCTTTTATTTATTCATGTATCTGAGACAGAGTCTCATTCTGTCTCCGAGGCTGGAGTGCAGTGGTGTGATCGGGGCTCCCTGCAGCCTCTACTTCCTGGGCTCAAGTGATCCTCCCTTTTCAGCCTCCCGAGTAGCTGGAACCACAGGCGCACACCACAACGCCTGGCTAATTTTTTAAAACTTTTTTGTAGTAAGGAATCTCATGTTGCCAGGCTGGTCTCGAACTCCTGAGCTCAAGTGATTCCCCTGCCTTGGCCCCTCAAAATGCTGAGATTACAGGGGTGACCCACTGTGCCTGGCCTCATTTTATATTTATATTTACTCAAAATGACAGCCTTGACAGGTTTCCTTGCAAAGGTGTGCAGAGCACAGCGAGAATTTCAATCGGTAAACTGGGCGGACTCAGGAGGGGAGTGGCACCTCCCCCGCATCCCCTGCGGAGCTTTTCTCAGCCTGCGCCTCCCAGGGCAGGAAGAGGGCTATGTGCGGTCCTGACACTCCTCCCTGAAGAGCCCCTCATGTATTAGTGTTTCTTATCCACCACACAGGAATGGCTGGCAGGAGTGAAAGAGACAAGGCTTTCCACACAAGAAAGGCATTTCCTATTCTTGGCAACATTGTTTAAAGCCAAGTATTAGACCCCAAATGGTGAAACCTGGAGGAAGATTCCCCCAGCTCTGCCTGGTGGGCTGCTTTTTCCTGAGGTTCTCAGCAGGGCTGGGTGGATGCAGCTGCACCGGGGTCTGACTGCAGAAGGCAGGAGCCCTGTCCTGCATTGAAGCTATTGAGATCCTGGAAGGGCTGACTGAGGTTGCCTGTAATACCAGAGGGAATGAGGGAGGGGCAGGAGTGATGCTGCAGTGGGGGAAGTTTCTTTTATTAAAAAAAAATATATATTATTTAATTTTAACTTTAAAATTTTTGAGACAGGGTCTTGCTCTGTAGCCTAGGCTGGAATGCAGCAGTGCCATCATAGTATAGTTCGCCGCAGCCTCTACCTCTGGGGCTCAGTGATCCTCCTGCCTCAGCCTCCCGAAGTGTGGGGATGACAGGGGTGAGCCACTATACCTGGCTGGAAGCTTTCATTTGATGCTAGAAGTGTCTGAGGGAGCAAAGACTCTGGGATGACTGAAGTCTCAGGCCTGGCAACCACCCCACACAGGGAGGCTCAGGAACAAGGATTAAAATAATTGACGTCAAACTTGTAGTGGAGGTTTACAGTCTCTCCTAGACAGCAGAGAACGTGCCTGGGGGTTGGAATCAAGGAACCGAACTGCAGCCCCCGGGTTTCCCGTTCGCTGGCTTCGGGACCTGCTGGATTCTCCCACCTCCTCAAGCCTGGGTTTCCGCATATGTCAACAAAGACCATAAAAGTGGCTTTTCTTTCATCGTGATCTATCACGTGCCATGAAGGAAAAATACAAAGGTCTGCCTGGAGGTGAGATTTATTATTAAATGAAGTCATTGATTCAGTGACGGATTCAGAAGCAGGGTGTGTCTGTTTAGAACCCAGTGAGCGTTTTCTGGGTGGTGATATTTCCCCTAGGTTTAGTGAGGTGCCTTTGGCAGAGAGTAAACCTCAGAGGCAGCAGCAGGCTGCGGAGCACAATGCTGGGTCCGAGCAGATGCCGGTTACTCACCATCCTCGTCTCGGCTCTGGGCCGTGCCCTGCCAACGAGACAGAAAGTCACCCCACTAGCATCGCTGGAGCTTCAGCAAGGACAACCCAGGAGCAAGGCCTCAGTGACTCTTAGTCCGTGGTGATTCTAATGGCGTGAACAGCTCTTATTTGTTTTTAATGGGTGTTTTATTGTTATTTAGGTAGGACAAGAATGCAGACATGGAAATGATGAAAAGGTAGTCTGTTATATTCACAGGGCAAGAGGACAGGCCATTCCACATCACACAGGGCCACATGGAGAGGCACCAGGGTCGGTCAGGAAGCAAAGGGAGCAAGGGGAAAATGTACCAGGCAACTAGGGACAGCCCCTGTGCCCTGGAGTCTGCAGAAATGACTCACTAGCCAACCCTACACTATCTGCCCCTGCCTCCTTCCCACAGAAGTCACAGTACAGGCTCCTGCCCACGGTGCCCGCTCCTTCTGCCTCCCGGCCCACCCTGGGGCTGCCCCATGTGGCCCTGCAAGACACACCTCCTGTTTCTAAGTGAGTATACACCCTTTTTCCTCCTTATCATTTCCAGGTCTGTATTTTTTTTTTTTTTTTTTTTTTTGAGGCAGAGTCTTCCTCTGTCGCCCAGGCTGGAGTGCAGTGGCGCGATCTCGGCTCACTGCAAGCTCCGCCTCCCGGGTTCACGCCATTCTCCTCCCTCAGCCTCCCAAGTAGGTGGGACTACAGGCGTCCGCCACCACGCCCGGCTAATTTTTTGTATTTTTAGTAGAGACGGCGTTTCACTGTGTTAGCCAGGATGGTCTCAATCTCCTGACCTTGTGATCTACCCGCCTCGGCCTCCCAAAGTGCTGGGATTACAGGCGTGAGCCATCACACCTGGCCAATTTTTTGGATTTTTAGTAGAGATGGGGTTTCACCATGTTAGCCAGGATGGTCTCGATCTCCTGACCTTGTGATCCACCCGCCTTGGCCTCCCAAAGTGGTGGGATTATAGGCGTGAGCCACCACGCCCGGCCCATGTCTGCATTCTTACCTTACCTGATTAAAACGAATCTCATTTGAAAACGAACTGATTCAGCAAATCACTCATGTCAACAAACTGGTAACATTCTCACATATATAGTGCCAAAGTTGAGCTGTTTCAGGTAATTAACGTAATTTGTATAAGGATTAGAAATATCTCTACAGTAGATCTCATTTCAGATTTAATGGCAATAAATTTGTTGGAGAGGCCGTGGGTTAGGATGCAACTCCGTTTGTCAAATCATGGTTGCATCACAACTGTAGGTTTGAGTACAGATAGACGATCTCATAAAAATCAACAAACGCATATAGGCTCTATGGAATAAAGAGTATTGTATATTTTGTTATTACTTGTGAATTCTGTGCTATAATGTACTTTATATCAGTAAAACTTATAATAAAGTGATATCAGCCGGGCGCAGTGGCTCACGCCTGTAATCCCAGCACTTCAGGAGGCCAAGGCGGGTGGATCAAAGCTCAGGAGATCAAGACCATCCTGGCTAACACGGTGAAACCCCATCTCTACTAAAAATACAAAAAAATTAGCTGGGCGTGATAGTGGGCGCCTGTAGTCCCAGCTACTCAGGAGGCTGAGGCAGGAGAATGGCGTGAACCTGGGGGGCGGAGCTTGCAGTGAGTCGAGATCGTGCCACTGCACTCCAGCCTGGGCAACAGAGTGAGACTCTGTCTCAAAAAAGAAGGAAAAAAAAAGTTATATCAGCATACTGATGCACCTTTTTTGTTTCTGGAGAGCCACTTCTCACGCGCTGAGCAGCACATCCTTCCCCGTGGGAGTGCTGCAGACATTTCCCAGCCCAGCACTCCACTCACTTGGCAGCATTCAGCTTCTGGGGATCCAGCTAGCTCTGTGGCCACAAACTTCCATAGCACTGTGCCGGGTTCCGAAGGGGTCCAGGCGCTGGCCAGATCAGTGGGAGTCGAGCAGCTGTAACCGTGAGAGACACAGCCCCTTGTTTTCCTTTCCCCATAACAGACAGTCCAAGTGAGATGAGAAGTGCCTGTGCATAGAAAGCTTATCAAACTTAATTTTAAATACTCAAAACTGAATTCCACGGAAAAGTCACTCCCAGAAACTTTTGCTGGTGTGATGTATGACTGTACGTGCCAGAGTGGCTTTGCAGACAACGGAAACTGGGAAAATATCCAGAGGCTGCTTCTGAATGCTCACAGCCAGAAAAGTCCATTTGGTTCTAGGCTAGACTGGGGAAATTGTGATGTGGCTGAAAGGAACAAGAGCGCCCCTCAGCCGGCAGGCATGCGCTGGGGCTCTGAAGTGAAACTCCGACATAGGAATGGGCTGAACATACCAGCCCTGTGCTGGTGTAAGTCCTTATGCGTCCCCTGTATCTCCTCCCAGTATCCCTGGCGAGTGGCTCCCTCGGAGAAGGCATGTGAGGACAGATTTTGCTCTTCTGGGATGTGTGGGGGATGACTGAGCCAGGGGTAAGCTGGCAAGTAAAGTGCAGCTTCTACAAACACTGCAGAATGGACACAGCTGGGGACTGCTCTGGGAAGGGAGGTGCCCTCTCTCCATCCGGGTGAGCAAACCCAGGGCTGTGAACAGGCTCTTCCCAGCAAGGGGTGCTGGCAGATAGTGGCCTAGAGGATGTCTCTATTTGTCCTCCTCAACCGCAGGGGACAGATAAGATCTGGGACACATTTATATGACGCTAACAGCCATGAGCCCAGCATTGCTCTTTTCTCTCCTGAGAAGTTTCTCCTTTTTAACTGTCTCTGGACGCCTGGGCTGCGAAAAGAAAATGCCTTTTATCCTCAAATTCTCCTTGTCTTTTCAGGGCTAGGTAGGTAAAGGCTTTTCAATTAGTAGACAGATAAATGGTGACTCTGACTTTCTTGCCTATAATCAAGAATCATTTCACTGGAAGGACCCTTTCTAGTATTCTGGTACAGAAATCCATAGAGCCTGACTTCTAATCTTCTAATTAAAACATATTTATACCCTAGATATTCATACTAATATTGAACAGTTCTGGTTTCCTTTTAACCACAACTGTGACCTCTCAAGTTCCATTTCCTAAGTGCACCTACTGAAAATAAAGCAGTGTCTTTTTTGCCTGGCAATGTTGTAAAAAATAGGCATTCTGTAAACACAAATTTTATGAATAGCATATACATATTCATCAAGCTCTTAGGATAATTTGCAAAGTTTATCACTTGTTTATTCCTACAATAAACTGAAATAAAAGGCACTGCTCAGAATGCACTTGAAACTACCTTAAGACAACTTTGGTATAAAAAAATACAAATATATATATAACACATATATATGTATTTTTTTGTCACTTTGTTGCCCCAGGCTGGAGTGCAGTGCCACAATCTCAGCTCACTGCAAGCTCCGTCTCCTGGGTTCACACCATTCTCCTGCCTCAGCCTCCCGAGTACCCCAGACTACAGGCGTCCGCCACCACGCCCGGCTAATTTTTTTTTTTTTTTGTAGAGATGGGGTTTCACTGTGTTAGCCAGGATGGTCTTGATCTCCTGACCTCGTGATCCGCCCGTCTCGGCCTCCCAAAGTGCTGGGATTACAGGCTTGAGCCACCGCGCCCGGCCAAATTCGTATTTTCTTATGAATAGCATATACATATTCATCAAGCTCTTAGGATAATTTGCAAAGTTTATCACTTGTTTATTCCTACAATAAACTGAAATAAAAGGCACTGCTCAGAATGCACTTGAAACTACCTTAAGACAACTTTGGTATAAAAAAATACAAATATATATATAACACATATATATGTATTTTTTTGTCACTTTGTTGCCCCAGGCTGGAGTGCAGTGGCACAATCTCGGCTCACTGCAAGCTCCGCCTCCCGGGTTCACGCCATTCTCCTGCCTCAGCCTCCCGAGTAGCTGGGACTACAGGCGTCCGCCACCACGCCCGGCTAATTTTTTTTTTTTTTTTGTATTTTTAGTGGAGATGGAGTTTCACCATGTTAGCCAGGATGGTCTTGATCTCCTGACCTCGTGATCCGCCCGTCTCGGCCTCCCAAAGTGCTGGGATTACAGGCTTGAGCCACCGCGCCCGGCCAAATTCGTATTTTCATAGCCACTAGTTGAAAAGATTGAAAATGCCAGTAAACTCATTGACAATATAAAACGTAAAAGTAATTGTGTCACGCAGGCTCATGAACTACCGTGCATTTTAAAAGCTGAAGCGCTCAATTCAAGTGTCCTTTACCTGAGGTGCTCGCTCATTCCGCATGGCCAAGCCTGTGTGGTGCGGCCCGGCCGGGCGTGCTCAGCTCGCGGCGCCCGTCGCCCTGGACTGGCTGTGGAAGCGGCCTGAGAAGCGGCGCTGGGGAGACGGGGGAGGCTGCCTGGGGCTCTGTAGGCTGAACTCTGCCTGCCTCGCCTTGCGCTGGGTTCCGCAGCAGACGCGCCCCCCTTAAGGGAGATGTTGTGAAAGGAAGGTGCTAACTGTCGGGGGAAGGAGGCGGTGCCAGGCTTTCTGGCTCCAGCTTTGGCTCCTTGCTGTTGTCCTGCTATCTCCACCTACAGGTCCCAGCCGTGATGGGGACACACGGATCTGGATCTGGATACCAGATCCAAGGATCTGGAGCCAAAGGCGCTTTCATGAAAATGTTTATTACCCCGTAAAAATATCCACCCAGCGCTTCAGCTTACGGTAAACTAAACACACCTATTATTTACAACAGTGAAAATGAAAGGCGATGCCCAGGTCCCGGCCTTCCGCAGGGGGCGCCGCTCCCGCTGCAGGACGGAAGGCACGAGGGAGCCAGGGTGCGCGGGCGCGTCCGGGCGCAGGAGGCGGTGCAGGAGCGCGCAGGGCAGCAGGAGCAGCAGGCTGGGCGCGCCCCCGGCGCCGCGCCCTGGAGCGTGGGAGGCTAGGAAGTCTTTGGGGTCTGGAAAAAAAGACAAACCGGAGATGTATGAATACAGTGTTGCGGCTCGGTTTGAGGGCGTGCAGTAGAAACGCCTGCTCCCTGCCTTCCGCAGGCCCTTTTCTCCTAAGCCCTCACTAGGCTCCGCCCCTGGGCCGCGCTGTAGGGCGAGGTGTGCGGGGGCTGGTACCTGCCGGCTGCACGGAGGGTTTCCTCTAAATGTGTGTAGAACTCAGAGCGCTGAAGGAGAATTACAGTACTGTTTTTAAAGGGGAACGAAGAACAGCCCTTCCGTCTTTCTCATTTGGCCTATGACCTTTCAGGGAATCCCGCTCCAGGTCATTGAGCGATTGGGCAAATAGACCCGATTTAAAACAGTGCTGTAGTGTATAAATCAGCTCACCTCCATCTGCTGCAACAAAGGTTCCACTTTTCCCCAAATGAGTGCTCGAAATATTTCTTTGACGAGGGACAGCTGATGGAGCAGGAGGGTGCAGCCACTCAAAGTCTGGTTGCTGTTCTGAGGAGGCCTAGCCCTGTGAGTGCCCTGGCGCCCGATGGGACTCACCCGCTGCTCCCCTTGTCCACATCGCTGGTCACAGGAGGCCATGCCTGAACGCCTAGTCCCTGTCTCCCCTCCCCACCCCTCACGGCAGGCCTCATTCATGCTGAACCCTGAGGGTCCCTGAGCCTTAGTCTCTATGTAGCTGGGACCCCAGTCCAGAACAGTGGAATGGGAATCTCTGGAATGGTGGGGCTGGGCAGGGTCTTGGCTAATGCCCTGGGTGGTGATTGCCATGTGAAGTGGACAACCTTGCAGGCATGGCAGCCAACACCACTAGAACATTCTCACAAGTGAGTTCAGGCCTGGCTTGGAGTGGGGTCAGGCTGGTGGAAGAGCATGGCCAACTACAGGGACCCTCTCCCTGGGGCAACTGAACAAAGGCCAGCCACCTCCCCACCCGCCGACCAGGTCTGCCCCACCCTCTACTATACCTCCAGGAGATGCCCTCTGGACTTGGGAACCTGGCATGAGTATGAAACTGGAAATTAACAAGGAATGATGCAGACCAGCGCCTGCAGCAAGAACCACTCTACACCTGTCCACAGGTAGGCTGTGGTGGCATTGGCCAGGTCAGGCTCACTCCAGGCTTGGGTGCCACCTCCCCATAGCACCCCACCGTGGGAGAGAGGGTTGTTCCAGGGGTGCCAGAATCCCCAAACAGGAATACTAACATCTAGGTTCAGACGAGGCTCCAGAGAAGCTGATGCTAAGACAGGCGCTCACAGCATGTGAAGCTATTCAAGTGGGAAAGGGGTCAGCAGTACTGGGTCTGTGCTGGCCTTCCTCTGATAGAAGGAAACAGGAGGGCTGGACACAGGGTGCATACTTAAAGACTCAGAGCCAGCTGGACCTGCGAGAGCCATTCCAATGGCATCCCAGAGGTCTGTAGACTGGGTCTGGCCCACGGATGTTTGTTTGCTTGTTAGTTGGTTGGTTGGTGGGTTTTTGCCAGAATTGCATTTTTAAAAATTAGTTTGCAGCAGTGTGGTGAGTCCTGACCTGGCCCTGTCTCACTTCTGTGTTACCTGCGCATCTCTGAAGACACCTGACTTGGCTACATCACCGTGTCATCGTATAGACTCTAAATTTTAGAGTCTATGGAATTAAATTGTCTCTTGATACTTGTGAAAACTGATACTTGATGCTGTAGGGCCACAGTAGAAAGAGCCACCCACTCAGACTAACAAGGAGATCCTGGCTAGCTCAGGACTGGGGAAAGGTCCCTGCTAGATGGAAGCTTTTCATTCTTGGACCCGCAGAGCATCAGTCAGAGCAATGAGTGCTCTTGGAGATCCCCAGAGAGAGAGTCCCTGCAGGAGCCAGGAGGCCACGTTTTGTAGCAACCTTCTATCTTCCACATATTCTTCGAAACCATCCTAATCTCGCATTAAAAGATTTAAAACATTTACTTACCTATTACTGTGCTGTTGGCTTTGGACCATGACCAAACTTTCTATATTCTATACAACACTATAAAAAATATCTTCATGTGTTTTATATTTATTCTTTCTTTTCTTTTTAAGAGAGAGGATCTTGCTCTGTCACCCAGGTTGGAGTGCAGTCATAGTTCACTGTAACCTCACACTCCTAGGCTCAAGTGATCCTTCTGCCTCTCAGCCTCCCAAGTAATTGGGACCACAGGTGCTCGTCACCACACCTGGCTAATTTTAAAAATTTTTTGTAGAGACAGGTCTTGCTATATTGCCCAGGCTGTTCTCAAACTCCTGGCCTCAAGCAATCCTCCCACCTAAGCCTCCCAAAGTGCTGGGATTATAGGCATGAGCCATTGTACCCAGTCATATTGATAATTACTCTTATAGAAAGAGTACAAGAATGGGCCAGGCATGGTGGCTCATGCCTGTAATCCCAGCACTTTGGGAGGCCGAGGTGGGTGGATCACGAGGTAAGGAGATCAAAACCATCCTGGCTAAGATGGTTAAACCCCGTCTCTACTAAAAATTAAAAAAATTAAAAAATTAACCAGGTGTGGTGGCAGGCACGTGTAGTCCCAGCTACTCAGGAAGCTGAGGCAGAATGGTGTGAACCCCGGAGGCGGAGCTTGTGGTGAGCCGAGATCGTGCCACTGCACTCTAGCCTGGGCGACAGAGCGAGACTCCATCTCAAAAAAAAAAAAAAAAAAGTACAAGAATGGCACAAGGTTAAGAATCAGAATCAGACCCTTTTTACTGTCTGTAGGAGTTGATCTGTCTGTGTCTCAGCTTCCCCAAATGTAAAAGGTGTACCTACTTCATTGGCTTTCGTAAGAGTTAAATGGGATAATGGGTATATAAAGTGCCTGAAATACACTGAGATCTCCTCTCCTGCTGTAACACCCAGAAGAGCTTGCCCTCCTGCAATGGCACCTGCCACGGAGGATGTTCCATCTATCATCACTCTTGTGAACTTGATGTCATCATAACCACCATCTGCACAGCCATCACAAGCATCACTGTAACTTGCCTTGAAGCAGGATGAATGGGTAAAAGAACACAAAGGTGTTACTACCCTCTCTGCACCTGACAGATGACTCTGAAGGATGACTGTACTATTTCGTCCAGCTTTGATGAACAGAGGCCACATTTTCAGAGCCATTATCACTGTCCTTGGTAAATAGCAGTCTCAGCACTGGATGTTTCCAAGAATGTAAAATCGTGACCAGATATCCTGGAAGTCATCACAGCTAGTCCGTTCCCCACGTTCCAACCTGGGCGGTCTAATGGCAGGTGGGAACTGACTTCATCTATGAGGACCACACAAGCACCCGCTGTGAAATCTGTGTCTTCCTGTCTCTGGGGCCTAGAGGAGCAGCTGGTGACTCAGAGGCAGAGGCCCAGGAAAAGGAGCACATATATAAGGGGGGTGCTTTGGGAAAATGTGGGAAGTGGGGTTAGGGGCTGTGCCTGTATTAAGAGTGTTCCTTGACTGCTGGTCCTACCAGGGAGAGAAGAGAGGACAGGAAGGTGAAGGCGAGCTAAGCATGCATTAAGTGTTCTCCACTGCAGGCCTCCAAGAGCAAGAGGGAAGCTGAGGAAGCCGGGCTGAAGATCTTTGGCCACTGGTACTGCCCTCCACACAGCCCTAGCAGGATGGCCTGAGGACGACAGGTGGGAAGTGGGGTTGCAGGGCTGTGCCCTTTGACAGATGGAGGTTCCCAGGGCTGACTGAAGTGGAGGGAGAGGGCAGGAGAGTGGCTCAGGGGCCTTGGCCCCATCAGGCATGCCCCTGGACACTGCACCACCAGACCACTCAGGCCTGGGAGAGGGCAGAGCCAGGGTTGGGGCCGAGAGGCTGGGCCTTCACTGGCTGTGCCCTCCATTGCTAGTGCCAGCCAGTGCTCGCCAAAGAGGAGAGGCTAGAAGGCACAGGATTCCAGAAAGAAATGCCGTGCTGCCAATGCCATGCTGCCTGTGCCCCTGCTGGTCCCACAGCTGAGCAGATGGTGCTGGCCTAGTGCAGAGAAACCACCTGAGATTTACACAGCTAACCTGTCTCCCAGATTCCTCTTCGATTACCAGTTGGTCATCTCCTGAAATTCTGCTCACTGAAACAGACACGTGAGGACACTGGAAATCATTTTTAAACTCAGCAATCTGGATATGAGCAACTTCAAACCAAAATTTAATTCACTATATGATTCCCAATGAATGCGATTTTCTTCAATGATGAATCCATCTAGTTTGCTGAATGCTATGTGGCCTGGCAATGGAAGATGCACTATGGATCGGTATGGAGGGTGAGCTGCAGTGAAGGCGCAGCAGTGTGTGGTGTGGTGGTGAGCTGGGGACCGAATTGCAGGGCCTCTTACCACAGCTGCCAGGCGTCTGGAGGGGAAGGCAGTGCAGGGTCCCGAAGACGCACCTGCAGAGGTGGCAGCCGCGGAGGGTCCAGGCTCCATGCTCCAGGGCACCGCATTCACTGAGAAGACCCGGACCTGCGTCAATGCGGTGGCCTGCGTGCCCCTCGCCCGGCGCCCACTCCCGCGCCCCCCGACCCGCACGTTCCTCGCCCGGCGCCCACTCCCGCGCCCCCCGACCCGCAGGCCCCTCGCGCGGCGCCCACTCCCGCGCCCCCGACCCGCACGCCCCTCGCGCGGCGCCCACTCCCGCGCCCCCCGACCCGCACGCCCCTCGCCCGGCGCCCACTCCCGTCCTCCCCGCGCACCCCGGTGCCCACCTGCGCCTCTGGTCATGCTCGCAGTAGCGGCCGGTGAAGTGGGCCGGGCACACGCAGAAGCTGCCCAGCACGCAGGTGCCGCCGTTCCGGCAGCAGCGCGGCCTCGCGGACGCACCTGTGGGATCACCCGCGCGTCAGCCCCGCGCCCCCAGCGGCCCGTGGCCCTCCCGATTCTCCCGTAGGGACGGGGCCGAACGTGGCCGCCCCGGGGAGGCAGTAAAATCAGCTCCCCGCCAAGTGTGTTTGCTCAGGTAAACCCTGCTTGTTAGGGACATGAAACAAACGACCAGGGCTGCGGCCTGCAAACCCGGCTTGCTCTCTCCCTTCCTTTCACATGTTAACCTCTGGCTGTGGCTTCACCTGACAGTGATTAAGCACAGGCCTCCCGGGCGGGACCACCCACGGGTGTGATGACGCCAAACCTACCGGCGAGGGGCCTCCTGGGGACGCGGTGTCTGCGATAAGCCAAGCAAGGGTCCACTGTTATCTGGGCTTGGGATACTTATTTGCAACACATTTAAATCACAGTTCTCTACATCTGCAGCAGAATAGCCACTGAAGAGCAAACACGACGTTTTGCCAGTGAAAGAATAAAACTTTTTAACACCTCACTAGGAACTGTCTCTAGCTTTACAGCTTTATAAGTGCATCATCATTTGAAGACAACAAAATGCTCTCCTTGAATTGTATCCTGAATTTATACTACATATTCTTATATCCTAAACTCTTGAGTCCGCAGACTGAGATGACGCCCCGGATTTTGTGGGCAGCACCGCAACTTACTCTCTCCGAAAGCCCGGGAGTAGGGGAGGGGCTCCTCCGGCCCCCAGCCCTGGGCGCTCCCAGTCACCTCCCCGGAATGACTGGAGGTCCAGTTGAGCGGTGACTGTTGGTGCTTCTGAGTGGCAACCTTGGTGACTTCCTCTCTTCGGCCGTTATGTTTCTCTCTTTGATAGCCTTTAAAAAATACCGAAAATGTGAGACTGATAATGATTGAGAAACAAATATTTTATGCAATTAAAACTGAAATTATGAATAAAATGTTTCTTACTATTTCCCAAATTGATGATCTGTAATGCCAAACTGACCGTAAACAGAAACCTAGAATATTTAAAGAAAATCATTGAAGTTGAAAATGTCTTTAAAAGTATAAGCAGAAATTCACCTATACCTAAAAATACAATGCAATCATTATATATAAATATAAAATTATGTAAAAGAATTATAATGAATAAGGCAATCATTTTGTAACTTGTAGGTTTTTGTTAATTTTGCTATGGCTTAGAAAGATTTTGAGACAGAAAGTGTACACCTCCTTTAATGAACAGTGGCTCATGCACTACGATTGATTCTGAGGCTCTCAAGACCCCCCTCTTGGCTCTAAGATCTCATAACCTCTGTCCTTACCTGACATGGTGCCTCCAGGTCATTTTTGGTTTGAGAGTCTCCTTCTCTTAGTGCATTGAAGATCAGTTTCCAGGAAAGCTGAGTCTGAAGAGCCTCTGCATTTGAAGGTGTCTTTACTCCAGGCCCCGGGGACACAGAATGGACAAGTACGGAAGGTGTGGACGTTCCTTTCCCTTCCTCAGCCAGGAGAAACAGGATGGTATCTCGAGTTCTACAGCCCCTGAGCTAGGGTTGGGGGTGCAGTGACACGCAGGCCCCTCCGAGCCTGAAGGACGATCCCCTCTGAGACCTGGCTGGGGGTGGGGACTTGGGCCGACTCCCCCCAGCAGTGTTTACAGTGCTGACAGCAGCAGGAGTGACCAATCCCTGGGGTAAAACATTGGTATCCAAGGTGACAAGCCATATTCTCACTGAAAAAAAAAAAAAAAAACCCAACATGAACAAAAAGCTTTCATAGGAAGATGGAGATTTTCTATCGCGTACTCCTTGTACTGGGAGATGGTGAAGGGCCCTGCGGGAGAGGGAGCTGCCGTGTGGGGCACAGGCCACAGCCTGGGGTCCCAGCTGCCCTGAATGGGGAACACAAGGATAAGGGAAAGCATGTCCCCCCTGCTTTAAGAGAGTCCCCATCACTCTGCAGATGGTGCCTCTTCTCTGTGCCCAGCAAGTGGGGGAGGGACACTGCCCCCATTTACTATAGGACCCTCTAGGGTAGGCACTATTATTATCCCCTACATGAAAGGAGAGATAGGGAGGCTTAGAGAGTTCCAATCCCTTGGCAGTTCGATCTCTGAAAAACATGCATGGCACAGATATGATGAGATACCCACAGGTATTTAAGGCAACTACAGGGAGCCCTTGGGAGCACGGGGCAACTGCAGCGCCTGCCCTTGCCAGAGGAGCCTGCTGAATCCAAAAGGAACTCAAAGAGGGAGTGATTTGTGGTCTTTTCTAGCACCTTCTAAATCTGTTTTTCTAACTACGGGATTAGAGACTGAGGCCCTTTTATCAGCACTAAAGAAAACACTTTGCAACCCAGTGTTGCAAATTGTTCTGTGATTTTAATATAAAAACTTATTTCTAAAAATAGTATTCTTCCTCCAAGGCTGAAATAATCTTCAGTAGTGATTTAATTTCTTACACCTTTACATGTGAGGTTTATTAAAGAGGCTGTTGAATAAAGCAAAGGGAAATTGGAGGACCGGGCTGTCCCGGCGACCTCCCAGCAATGGGTCCTGTGGGCTGCCAGGACCAGGTCAAGGCCAGCAGACCCGAGTCGGCAGAGCACACGGAGGAAGGTGCCCCAGAACTTCATCAAGCATCTGTAAGTGGAGTCATGAGACAAACACCTTGTTAATTTTGTTTTTTTAGAGGCAAAGTGTCACTCTGTCTCCCAGGCTGGAGTGCAGTGAGTGATCATAGCTCACCACATCCTCGAACTCCTGGGCTCAAGTGATCCTGCCACCCCAGCCTCTGAATGGCTAGGACTACAGGCTTGTGCCCCTATGTCCAGCTAATTTTTTTTTTTATTTTGTGGAGATAGGGTCTTGCTATGTTGCCCAGGCTGTCCTCTAACTTCTGGCCTTAAGCAATCCTCCTGCCTCTGCCTCCCAAAGTGTTGGGATTACAGGGACAAACCCACCGTGCCCGGTGAAAAGTACACTTTTTTTTTTTGAGACGGAGTCTCACTGTCACCCAGGCTGGAGTGTAGTGGCGCGATCTCGGCCACTGCCAGTTCCGCCTTCTGGGTTCACACCTTTCTCCTGCCTCAGCCTCCTGAGTAGCTGGGACTACAGGCGCCCACCACCACGCCTGGCTAATTTTTTGTATTTTTAGTGGAGACAGGGTTTCACTGTGTTAGCCAGGATGGTCTTGATCTCCTGACCTTGTGATCCACCCGCCTCAGCCTCCCACAGTGCTGGGATTACAGGTGTGAGCCATCGCACCCGGTCAAAAAATACACTTTTAAACTCAATGGTTACTACTGGTTAATTACATCATTTAATTATATGTAAAAGTAAGTACATTTTATGACTTTAAATTAATAGAATCTTCTGCATGAGCTAAATTGTTTGTATACTAAAATGAAGATGTATATAAGCTAGAGGATTGTATTTTTTGTCTAAATAAGTTTTAAAACTGTTCACTTTACAGAGTGATGTTGAAAACAAACTTCTCTGACAATACGAAAGCTTTAAAAGCAGCGTCTAAAATCTAACTTTCCCCCGTAGTTTATTTATTAAATTTTACCTTAGTGGACATTTCCAAACATACACAAAGGCTGGGAGAATGAGCCAATAAGCCCAGGTTCAGCAATTCAGTATCAGCCTTGGCCAATCTTATCTCATTTGTTTCCTCCCTAACTTTTTTCTTGAAGTTTTAAAAACTCCAATACATCATGACATTTCATATGTAGAGTAAGATTTTGAAAATCTGCACTTTATAAGTGGAAACTAGGAAAAAAAATGTCTTGCCAGCAAGACAGAACCGAGAGGCAAGAAATAGGAGTGCGATATGCTTAAGCTGCTTGCTTAAGCTCTGCAGTTGGCTCTGAGAAGGGCCGACGGGCCTGGCGATAAAGCTTCTGATGACCTATTTTCGCCAAACTGTCACTTGCTCTCCACACAAAGCTTTGTGGTCCCAGGTTGCCGCGTTGACTCAAAGGTCTTATAAAAGGTTTTTGCATTTTACTGCAGAGGAGCTGCCCTGTTTGCCATCAAGAGGCCCAGCTGTAAGCGTTGCCGGGAGCACGGGAAGGGTGGAGGTGGCTCCCTGCCAGGAAAGGCCTCTTTCCTCCTTATCAGCTGTAAACAGATAAGGCTGGAGCCGACCCACCCATCAAAACTCCAGTGGAATGTTCTGGCTCATAGAGTGTGTGGGACTGGAACCCGTGCCAGGACTGGAGGCCCCGTCAGTGTTCTCAGCACATCCATCATGCAGGAAAATGCTCTGCAACAAGTTAGGTGTGAAGGAATTCTCTGAGGAGGACTTGAAAGCGATGGCTGTCCAAGCAGGCTGCCCCTGGCACCTGTGGGGAGTGAGAAACACCTTTCTCCATCGTCCTGGCTTCTTGGGCGGGGCTGCCGTCTGTCTCCACACATTTTCCTCATCTAGAGATTGCATGTGAGGGGAATCATGCAGTATTTTCCTTTTGCGTCCGGCCTATGTCACATAGCATAATGTCTTAGGTCCGTCCGTGCTGTAGCGCCCATCAGGGCTTCACTCCTTTTATGACTGAATAATAAATATTTCACGACACGCATCCACCTTGTTTTGTCTATTTGTCATCTGTTGACGCATACTTGTTTTTTCTACTTTTTGGAAGAGCACAGTGAGAAGACAGCTATCTACATGCCGATGAGGGAGGACACGGGGGAACCCAAATCTGGTGACGCCTTGATTTCAGACTTCCGGTCTCCAGAGCCGTGGGAGGAAACATTTCTGTGGCTCAGGACTCCCAGCCTGCGGCATTTGGTTAGGGCTGCCCGAGCTGACGGATACACCAGGTTTTTGTTTTTCCGTGATTGTGATGTATTATGTAATTTAGTAATTTTTGCTGCATGTAGAGTGCATTTGTACTGGTGGCTTTCCGGAAGTACAGAGAACACCTTTTACGAAGGGTCCTTACACAGACATTTTCATTCACGGGGGGACTCTGCAGGCAGCCCTCACAGGCAACGGCGTGAGTCCGGCTGATGTTCCTTTAAATCAAATGGTGAACCTGAACTGTTGTGTGGCCCTTCAGAAAGTCCAGCACAGTCTGAGATGCTGATTTTGGCCACCAGGCAGCGACCATAGTGGACAGAACATCACCTCCGCAAGCAGCCGGCATTCCAGCCTGGGTGACGGAGTGAGACTCTGCCTCAAAAAACACACAAACAAACAAAAAAAAACAATGAATCATGTGAATCTGGGAGGCGGAGGTTGCCGTGAGCTGAGATCGTGCCACTGCACTCCAGCCTGGGTGACAGAGCGAGACTTGGTCTCGAAAAAAAGAGAGAGATTGACTGTTTCAGGGAGACAGGCGGTCACATGCTGAAGCACAGGCCTGGCATGCAGGGGCCCTCCTGGGAGCGCAGGCTCAGGAGGGGAATCAGCCTGTCGTCAGCACCAGGCTCAGAGCTGGGCCAGGCATCAGGACCGTTTCATCTTCCCATGGCAGTGCCGGTGCTGCTGCAGAGCCCTGGGGACTGGGACGCAGAGAAGCACCCTCCCTCAGGAGCTTCCTTTTCAACTGCGTGGCACCCTGCAGTGCCTGAGTGCTTTGACCAGAAGCATTTGGGCTTGGAAGGGTCTTTCCTGCCCTTTCCTCCACCCAGCCCCCACACCCTCCACTGCCAGCCCCGTGGCCTCTCCCCTGCACCAGCACCCACGGCCTCGCCCAGGGCAGGAGGGAGAGGGTGAGATCGGGAGTCCCCGCCTTTTGTGACCTGCTGTCTGTTAGAGGTGAGTCCAGGCCCACTCTCAGGGTGGGGGTCGCACATCGGCCTGAAGACCAGGAAGGACTCTTTGGGGCCCTGCCAGAGACTCAGCCACACACATAGATTAAACTCGTTTTGCCATATTTGTTATTTTGTTTTTAGTGAAGAATTTTAAAGTAAATTACATACATCATGACGTCTTCTTCTCCCTGAGTATTTTCATGTTTAGGATGTGTGAAAAGTGAGGCTGTGTTCCCACAATCTGTATTAGACGGAATGGAATTAACAACAGTGCTCCAGGACCCCGGACCATCCAGCCCAAATTCCATTTGGGGATGAGATGCCTTTTTGTCTGAGTCCCAAGCGGTAAGCACCATGAACCCCTCCGTTGGTATCTCAATCTTCCTTTTCCTTGGATTTTATTCTCAATTTCTAACTTCTAAACTCGTAATTAGATTATATCTCATTTAATATTATTTGTTAAAGCTGATTTATTCTAAAATTTGATGAGGCAAAAGTCTGGATTTTGCCTCAATATAATAGGAACCACTTAATTATAAACATTTACGCAGGGCTTTGCTAACCTGCATTTTGTTCTTGGTATAACCACTTGTCTTTTGGCCCCTTAAAAGGTAATCTTCTATACAAAGCACTTCTAGACAGATCTACGAGAAGAATTAACTTTGAAACTAGTATTTTATTGGCAGATGATGCCCTGCTGATGAAACTGTGAATCAACCACATTTGCTCATAGATAGCACTTGGCACAAAAAGAGCTGAACACTAGTCCCTCCAGACTGCACACCAATGTTCTGGATTTCACAGTGAGACTCAGGGTGCGTGGGCTTTGTCACCTGCAGCTCTGGGATCCAGCCAGTTGGGCTGGGGCTTCCTCCCGGTTTAAATTTGAAAAGTTGGCCGGGCACAGTGGCTGAAGCCTGTAATCCCGGCACTTTGGGAGGCTGAGGCGGGCAGATCAGAAGGTCAGG